TCGTCAACCAAGATGACATGTTCCACAAAATGACATGTAGCCCCTAAAAATGCGGTGTCGCCAACCAAGATGACATATATCACCAACCAAAATGACGTTTCACCCACCAAGACGACGTGTTCCACAAAATTGATGTGTCGCCAACCAAAATGACATTTCGCCAACCAAAATGACGTACGTGTTGTACGTCCACCAAAATGACGTGTCGTCATGCATGGAGGAATGGTCTCAAACGCAAAACCCAGTGCCAATTATAGGTTGGATTTTATCAGAGTTGCTGACTCGAGTCATGTGACTTGGACTCGAGTCGGACTCGAGTCGCCATTTTTGTGACTTGTGACTTGACTTGTAAATACCAGCTTTGACTTGTGACTTGACTTGGACTTGCAAACAATGACTTGTGACTTGACTTGGGATTGCAAAAGATGACTTGTTACCAACCCAAGTCAGACGCTAGGTCTGCTGTTTGTAAAATATGTGGATCCACTGTCACTGATGGCCCAAACACAACGAGCAATTTCGTGCGGCACCTTAAAACCCACGATGAGCGGTGAGTAGTCGCGCTGTGACTTTTTTTCGGGGGGGGGGGGGCTTAACCGCGAATAGATTTTCGGTCATTCTGGGCTGTGTACAAACTCTTGCTTCATATGGCTATTGAATCTAAATAAGTTCTAGCCTCTAGTACTTGAAAATCTGCCCTAGACAGAATGTATATTTTCCCTAATTCCAGATTGGGCATGTCTGCATGTAAAGCTTCATGGTAACAATACAAAGTCTTTTTTTCATGTCATCCCAACATTTATTTCTACAATGTAAAGTAAATTTATTAAAGTATACAAAGGGCTAATATCCGACAGATATGTGATAAACTACAAGAATAGTAATTGCAACACATTGAAAAGGGGGAATTAAGGAGGCATGTTCAAAATAACTCGGAAGTTGACGCCAGGTTCTTTTAGCTTATTACAGCTGGACAAAATAATGTGCAACTTGACGTGTTCTTGGACAAACTGATACTTGTGACTTGACTTGTGTTTAGACCAAATGACTTGTGACTTGACTTGTGACTGGACCTAATGACTTGTGACTTGACTTGTGACTGGACCTAATGACTTGTGACTTGACTTGGACTTGCAAACAATGACTTGTGACTTGACTTGGACTTGCAAACAATGACTTGTGACTTGACTTGGACTTGCAAAAAATGACTTGCTGCCACCTCTGGATTTGATTAACTTCTTTATTAGACAATTTTGTAATATTAGGCAATATACCGGTACAATATTACAGGCAGACAGGCCAATTCCCTTTAACATTTAATGGGCCTAAAGTCATTACTTCTATTTCATTCGGACTCGTTCAGTCACGGAGAAAAGGTCCGTAGTTCAGTGCAGTATGTGGAGGATCATCGATCAGGAAGCCAGGAACACCATACCATACATGTACAATATCTGTACAGCAAATTTTACGTTATAAATATTCACACATGACGACATGTAAATTATCATATTTGAATATGCACAAGGTATGACGATGTCATTTTGGTGGTTCTCCATAAGTGCTTACCCTTTTATATGTCCAAAAATCTTGCACATATATGCTAAATAGGAACAGTCTGGTGCCTGATTGTATTTGGTGTATGGGGTAAACAGATCCGAAAACGCGATTTTCTTCAATGCTAAAATGTTACAGTCTCATACAAATAATGCAGTATCACATTAAATATTGTTATTAAGCCGAAATGGAAGAGGGGGGTGTGTGTTGTTTATGTGTGGTGGACGTAATAAATCACATTGAACATTAAAATGCATAATAGGCTACCCGTTGGAAATAAAAAAAACACCAAATACACGATATAAATCCATTTCTGTTTCGAATCAGGGTGTAGGAATCAAGTTTCACACCCATGCATGGGTTCGCTTGTACCCATCAACTCCATATATGATGCCGGGAACGGCTAATATCTTCAGGATGCATAACGTCATTTCTTCGAGCCTTCATTAGAATTAGTTTAAACAATAACACATGTCAACACATATGTACGTGAACTATATACACCCCGAGGACAGACAGACAAAGGGAGAACAACAAATTCTTTGTTGTCCTCAAGAGTTCATCTTTTGTTTAAATCGGTCCTCGGTCGTGCGTTTGTGTGCTTAGTCTATAGGAGAGTGTTATATTACAGGGACAAAGGAAAAGACAGAGAATTGTCCTCGAGAGTATAGTAAAACACGACTGGCTGAGCGTAACACGTTCACGTACATATGAGCGTAACACGTGCGCGCTGAATGTACGTGCATGAGGCATTAAGCTGCCCACAATGCTCTGCGCGCCTACATGTACGCTTCCTGCACAAAATTGTGTGAAAGAGATTAGCCCTTCCCTTACATTTTCGATAATATGGGCCGCACTTATTAGTGTGTAAATTAGGCCCACGTCATGTGTGACCGTAATATATTACTGCCACGATTCAAACGTGTGCATTTTGCAATTTGACGTACAAAACCGCGCTTATTAACGACGGTGAGTAGTCGTATCGGCTTAAATACGCTCCACATTTTCTACAAGGTCGCGGTTTTACAAAACACAAAGATTAGGTCTAGATCACTAATGAAATAAGCGCAACCAAGCCTTTTTGAAAGAAAACGTGTTTTATATTAACAAAAAAAGTAATTGTGTAGGCCTATGCTTTTTGGACATGGAAAATAAAAAGCAAGGATTTGAAAGAAATCGCGTTTCGCACAACAAAGTAGTGTTTGACAACGAGTATTTCGTTACTGCTAAAATTCAAATTCAATTTAGAAGAGTGAATTACTATGATTTTTTTTAAAATCTTTTGATGATATTCTTTGTCTCTGTTGTCATTATTTATACAAGAACTATGTCAATGAATCGCCAGGGGTTCTATATAGGTTCATATCCTTCGTCGGTCACGGTGGCCGCAGGCGATCACAAACACGTCTGCTGCCACCAATCGTGTTCATTGGCACAATATTAGGTTCATTTTCACTCCGTAAGCTTTTCCGACATATGCCTAATGGCTGAAACAACAAGCCTCTGCACTGGTGACGTCATACTTTGTTTATATGTGCACTTTCCTAGGGAGCCAGTGGGGGCCCACGGTCCACTGAGCACCAAAGGAAGGCACACACGTATTGTGACGTCATCAGTAAAGAGGCTTATTTAGGATGGTGCTATTTGGAGTGGCCTAAATTTTAGTAAACTATAAAAGAGTTTACTCAATAGATAGCGCCTCCTATCGTGTCTCCACCATTATTGTTAACCCGACTTTAACTTGTCTTTTCTGCAATCTATCCTAATGGTTTTATTCTATTTATTTATTACATTTCTTTACCCAGGGTATATGCCCAAACAGTTCAAAACTGGTTTCCATTGGGGCCCTGCATTCAATAAAAAATGACTCCAAACATGTATACAAATACAATACATTACAAACACAATACAATACAATACAATGAGATTTTAGTGTGTGCCAGATTAGTTAAATGAATAATAAATAAAATTTTCAGTGGCTAACTTTCCGTAAAAGACTAAGTTTCTGTGGCTATCTTTGCCAAAAGGGAAATACAATTTGACAGGCTTTTCTCTATAAATAATAAGATAACCTGGGCAGTATTTTTGCCAGTGAAAATTAAGTAAGGCTTTTATTTATTTATAAGTAACACAGAATAGATAAAAGGAACCACCTGGGTTATCGGTAAAAGTAATAATTAAATGCGACGTCACCGTAGCGCACTTCCCGTTTTATTCACTCGTGTCAGCAAAATCCCGGATGGTGATCAGTCCAGTCGACCTTAATCGGCGCCCCCTGGTGGCAGATTGATAATTAGTTCCACCGCTTTCCCACCGACCCCATCCTTCCAATCCACCCTTCACCACGTTCCTCTCGGGGTCTGGTACCAGTCTGGACAATTGGCAATTGACCAATTATTTCAACTGAAGAACAAACAAAAACACTCACTCCACAAACTACGACCATGAGGCATCCGTGTTGTTGAACACACACTCAAAACTTTGTTTTATTCCACACAACTATTGACTGAATTGAGCAATGCCTGCTACATTTACAACACGTTTGCTTTGCAAAACTTCACATTCTTAGATATAGGCCTAACTACTTATTAATTAATTAATTAATATTAATTAATTTATTTATTTAATTGTTTATTTATTTTCCCCATTTTCCCCTACGAATATACTACCAGGGACATGTGTAACGACGTTTTTTTCCCCACACGAATGAATCTAACTTTGACAATATATATTCGACAAATCCACATGCCAGGTTATCACATCATTGGACGACCGTGCATCCCCAAAACTACTACGTTTTCCTTTATATTAACAAGGAATGTTATCATATTTAAATAAATAGTTTCAATTGACTCTCTTGATGAGGAGCAAAATCAGTTCAAGACTGTTACCACCAATCTAATAATATTTTTACTAATATTTTACAAAAACAAGTTTCGCAAATCATGATGGTAAAGTTTCAACAGTGTTCATAACAAAGTCCCAGTTTCATCAGTAAGGATAAACGTACGGCGTTGCCAGAGGTTTACTTTTGCGAATAAACGTTAATTCCTAGGAGAAAGCATTCACATTGAAAGCATTTTAGGCTTCTAAACGCATCAAACTCGAGATCTGCAAAACCAGTTTGCATTTTACACCTATATTCATCAATACCATTAACATTCGCTTCCATGCGAAAATACAATGCCTTATTACCACGCAGCCACATTATGATCAGCTAGACATCACAATTATTAGAAGTACATGAATACAAAGTCATTACATGCGCAACTTCCATACAGTTCCATAAAGTTCATTACACATTTTTTTTTGCCAAACCGTCACAAGTTAATTCATGTTCTCTTGAATAATTTAACAGGTTTTACCGATGGTATTTTGAGGGTTATGTGTTTTGAAGAGTGTTATATTTGTTAATTCATATTTCGCGTATTTTCATGCACATTTTTTCAAGGAGTAACTGATAGTTTTTTCCAATGCCACCAATAAATGCCCCAGTCAATACCCGGTATCTTCTCTGGGTAATAGATACCATTCAAGTGACACTCCATACACGCATTAAACCACCAGGCTCCTTTATGGATACGAGCACAATTTCTGCCATAGACATCATTGTCCTTGTCCTTTGTAGTAAAGGGAAAACCCTTGCTGATCCGCATAGAGTCACCAGCGGTGCTCTTCATATCGTAACAGTCATAATTCAGACGGTACTCACCAGGGGATAGTTTGAAATCGGTGTACTTTGCCCAAACTGTGTTGTTCTCCCAGTCCCCTAAATCAACTTGTAGCTCCCATGTTCCTTGTAAATCATCAGACGTCAGAGTCACCAAGTTGTCGTTGCCCAACCAGAACTCACCGGACAGATCGCCAAAGCCAGACTGGTACTCGTCCCAGTTACGCCAGAAGTCCACGCTGCCATCTTGTCGCCTCTGAAACACGATCCATCCCCCGCCGTCAGTTTCCATGTCACAGTAGACGCGAAGACCGCAATTGCCCAATCCGTCTGGGTAGATTGTGTAGATACCGCTTGAACGATAACCAGCATCTAAGAGCCTTTTGCAACTTTGGTAGTAACTAAAGGAGCTATCAGCCATCGAGTAGAGAGGTGTGTCCTCATCTGCATCAAAGTACACACTCCCTTGAGTTGCATTGAAGTCTTCGGGATGCTCTCGTCTTGTGGCAAGGTTCAACTCGCACTTTTCGTTGCAGTCGTTGTAGTTGAACGACTTGCAGCGGTCATCCATGCTGCATTCTCGTCCGCAGATGACGCGAGATCGCACAGATTTGTTCGCATAGACAAAGCGTTCCAGGGCGCGATTTTCCGCCGAATGAAACGCATATTGCTGAGGGCCGAATGAGTTATTACATCGCAGCCCAGCAATGACAGCTGTCAGAAATGTTAGAAATAAAATAGGGAACAGTTTCATACCAGCGTTTAGTGTTGCCATTGGATCTCCGTGGTCTGAAAGCTTTATAGTCGATTTATGATGATCTAGTTGGAACGTTTGTCACGTGAAGGAGCCAGCCTTAAATCATTTCACAAAATATATTTTATGGACACTGATTATCAGAAAACGTAGCTGCGATCTTGAGCCAAAGATGTCATTTGATCTGGAGCAAAACATCAGCATCCTCAAGAAGGTCACTCATGTGTGATGCTGATCAGGCTTCCTCTCAATTTGTAAAGTGGATATATTGCTTCCGTGTTATAACACCAAATAATGCTGTTCGACTGGTCGTAACAAGCAAATCCTCAGTGCTTGTATACTTTGGCCTGCACGTATGCGTATGCATAATTATGACGTGTAATTCGCTGATTTGGTAATTGAGTGGCGTTCTTCCTGTCATGGAAGTACCACGGCTTCTGATTGGATATGAGGTCCGCACGAGCAATCATGTACATCTTTTTACTATAGTACCTGCAGTATTAAACTCAAAACCAGACACACTTGTATCCTTTAAAAACGGTGCTGTTGTCGAGGAAAGAAGAAAATGCCCAAACTTATTTATAGATGTAGGCCCCTACAATGGACGTTTTTACAGCATGCAGCCCGGGCGTATGAATCCGGGGGGGGGGGATGGGATAAATATCCCCCTACTTTTTGACTGGGGGGCTATTGAATCATCCCCCTCCTCACTTTTACATGATGAGAAGAAAAAATGTGGATTTCGAGGCATTTTTCGAACAACCCAACCACCAAGATATGTCGAGAAACAAAGTACAAATTGCTTTTAAAATCCGCCGTTTTAAAGCTACAGTCCATCATTTGCAGCCTTCCGAAAAGTAACTGGCGTAATTATTGTTGAAAAAAAGGGAAACCCACTTTTGACAGCAATTTTCACCTACATGAGCATATTAAAAAAATTAAATGTATTGGTACATGTACTAAAATATTGATCTTTAAACATAAGTGACGACAATATTATTGCGAAAGCATATTTGTCTCTGAGGCAGGGGCGTACCGCGTAGCAAGGTCATTTTTATTGGGGGGATATGTCTTTAAAAGGGCACCTACACATCCGTGCTGAAATGTAGACACGTTTTTTCTTCGGGCACTTGGCCTCAGTAAAATAAAATAGGGGGGGGGGGCTATTCAAAACCGACGATTATGCACACTATAATGGTGCTTTTCAGGGCGATACGTGTGCGAAAAAAAGGGACTATGCCACAAAAAGGGCACGACTTTTATTTTGTTTTTAAAGGGCACTTGTTCAGAAAAAAAGGCACTTGTTAATAAAAGAAGGGCACTATTTACAAATATTGGGGGGGGGGGGGGCGGTAAGCGCTGGTGACAAAATATTGGGGGGGGGGGGAAATACCCCCTTAACCCCACCCCACCCCCTCCACCCCCCACTAGCTACGCCTATGATATGGTATGGTATAAAAATGTCATGGCAAAACCTGTTTGTCCACGGACGGCTGTTTTCCATCCGCTTGACTGAGCTATGAGCTCCGGTGCTTGATTTGTAGACCAAAAAACCCACTACACTAGACTTACACGTGGACAACAGTGATTTTGGTGACTTGCATACAAATTAAGTTTTTTTCACCACGTACATTATAAAAAAAATTCATAATAAGTTAAGTTAGTAGGTTACAATTTCTGTCAAAAGTGGGTTTATAATGATTATTACTGATTATAATAATGAAGCTATGCGCTGTTCATGCAGCCGATACCGATTCGTCAAGCTTTCTACCAGCTTCTCAATATAATTACCGTACGCTTTGCATCACAACAATACCTTTTCATTGAAAACTACTCTAATGATATCATTATTCATCCGTCTTTGTGCCGCTGCGTGTAGAAATGAAATAAACGACCTGAAGTTTTGCATATTTTATGAACATCTACAAAAGAGACACGACCATTAATTGCCTCTGCGCGCCGCATTTTGAGAAACTGTCTTTTTCAGTCTCAGTGTCGGAATTATTAACTTCTATATCAATGCTATCTAATAGTTTAGATGCATCAAGTCAATTTGTGAAGTTTCACCTAAATTTACACCTTTCGAGATGTACCACAAACGCATAAACATTCACTTATACCCGTATAGACAGGCAATTCATCAGGATCCACATTTCTTTGTTTTTGTTTACTCTTTTTGTGTTCCCATTATGAGACCGGAAGTTACTTCTATGAGAATTTGAAAACGATAATATTTTAAATTTTAATTCTATCATTTGATTCATGTCGTATATCTTGGTAGCCCAAATAACGATATCCCTTACAATGTTTACCTTTTGCTTCCAAATACTGTGACGTCATCAAACCGGAGTTAGGTGTTATGAACACATACAGTTATATTTTCCATATTTTCATAACTTCACAACGAACATTATCCACTCCGAACTAAATCAGTATTCACTTCCCATTTTTGAATAATGACGTCATTAAGCCAGAAATAACTTGTATGTGTACATAGAATGTTCACTTAAATTTATCACACCGTTAAAGATGCATTTTTTTTAAACAAAATAATTGATTGTACTGGAAAGGATTTAATTTCGTGACCCTTGTTCTTACATAAACATATTCATAACTCAACTCGGCAGTGTTTAATGAACAAATTGCCTGCCTGATCACTCTGCGTTTGTAACAACAAACGCGAACCTCTAGTGTTTTTATTACATCTGCCTGGCAGTTGCGCAAAAGGAACGTTCACATTTTGGAATTTTGTTGTCAGACTTCCCCTCTTAAAAGCCGGAAATTTGGCCGAAGAGACACGAACCGCCATGCGCGTGAGTGGTCGGAGGTCGGTTCGGAATGTAAGTTCTATACACAGGGTGCATGGTGCAAAAAAAGGGAAACCCACTTTTGACAGCAATTTTCACCTACACGAGCATATTTAAAAAATTAAATTTATTGGTACATGTACTAAAGTATTGATCTTTAAACATAAGTGACGACAATATTATTGCGAAAGCATATTTGTCTCTGAGGCAGGGGCGTACCGCGTAGCAAGGTCATTTTTATTGGGGGGGGGGGGGGATGTCTTAAAAGGGGCACCTACACATCCGTGCTGAATTATGAAATGTAGACATGTTTTTTTCCTCGGGCACTTGGCCTCAGTAAAATAAAATAGTGGGGGGGGGGGGCTATTCAAAACCGACGATTATGCACACTATAATGGTGCTTTTCAGGGCGATACGTGTACGAAATAAAAAAAAAGGACTATGCCACAAAAAAGGGCACGACATTTTGTTTTGTTTTTAAAGGGCACTTGTTCAGAAAAAAAAGCACTTGTTAATAAAAAAAGGGCACTATATACAAATATTGTGGGGGGGGGGGCCAGTAAGCGCTGGTGACAAAATGGGGGGGGGGGGGGGGGGGGTTAAATACCCCCTTAACCCCCCCCCCCCACCCCACCCCTCCACCCCCCACTGGCTACGCCTTTGATATGGTATAGTAATAAAATGTCAAGTGCAAAACCTGTTTGTACACGGACGGCTTTTTTACCAGCTTCTCAATATAATTACCGTACGCTTTGCATCACAACAATACCTTTTCATTGAAAACCACTCTAGTTATATCATTATTCATCCGTCTTTTGCCGCTGCGTGTAGAAATGAAATAAACGACCTGAAGTTTTGCATATTTTATGAACATCTACAAAAGAGACACGACCATTAATTGCCTCTGCGCGCCGCATTTTGAGAAACTGTCTTTTTCAGTCTCAGTGTCGGAATTATTAACTTCTATAGCAATGCTATCTAATAGTTTAGATGCATCAAGTCAATTTGTGAAGTTTCACCTAAATTTACACCATTCGAGATGTACCACAAACGCATAAACATTCACTTATACCCGTATAGACAGGCAATTCATCAGGATCCACATTTCTTTGTTTTTGTTTACTCTTTTTGTATTCCCATTATTAATTTAAAGATACTTCCCACCTAAATAAGCAAATTACTAATAACACGTTAAAAGTGACAAATGTGTTTACTTGGTAGTTGGTATCGGTTTAACTGAAACGTCACTTAAAGGTATCCCTCATACGATATTATCTATTCCCGGATATGTATGTGAACATAAAAACAGGAAGATTCAAAACGGTGGAGGCATCATGTTATATATAAAAGACTCATTACAATAAACTGTAAGGTCGGATTTAGTTAGTACTTCTGGATGTTTTGAATCCATATTCATTGAAATAAGAATTCCCCACAAGAAAAATGTTATCATAGGTTTAGTTTACAGACCGCCTGGTCTTTCTGTTTCTAATTTTACAGAGGAAATGGATGAAATACTAATAAAAAATAACCTTAGAAAACAAGATCTGTTATATTTTAGGAGATTTCAATATCAGTTTGCTCAATTGTGATTCTCACAACCCAACGCGCGAGTATTCCCACTCCTTTCGCCCTACAATAGACAAACCAACAAGAATAACGCGTAACACAGCTACCCTTATTGATAACATTTTCACTAACAGCGTAGATAATCATCAGGCAGCAATCATCACCTCTGAACTGAGCGACCACCTGCCTATTGTCTTGTTTGGTTCGAGTCTCACAAAAGTCAACAAATCTAAAACGTATTATTGGAAAAGAGACACTAGTGATTACAATATCTCATCATTGAAAAATAAGCTTCATGCAGTTCAGTGGAATGAAATTGTTACAGCTGAAAATGTGAATGATTCTTATTTGCAGTTAATTACCAAATTAAATGAGGAAATAGATATATATGTTCCTTATAAGAGATTTAAAACTAAGAAGACAATGAACAACCCCTGGATA